AGTCCATCAAACATGTCAAGTGAACACAAGAGCTCTTGTCTTTCTTCAAATCAACACTTAACAGTCCAGGATCAAAGAGTGTAGTCCCCCTTTAGGTTCAACAGCTACTGTCCACCTTGTATTCAGGATACTGTTTCCAAACTTATAGGTAGCGATGCATCAATATATCGGCCAATATTCGCCTTGTTGAATGACATCGGCCTATTGGCTGATAAGATGGTATTCATTCACTGATATTCCTGGTGTTTGTTGTTTTGCATCAATTTTGCGTTGGCTAAATGTTGTGTTTATTATTTCAAACGTGAATAAAGGCAAAATAATCACCTGCGTTTTACAGAACTGGCCTAAACTGCACACAAATACCGATGTGATCCATGTACACAGTGAGTCAGCTCTGCGTCTCACATGTTGGATGAGACAAGAAATAGAACTGCAACAAGGCAGAGAATTTTTTTTCTTAGTATTTGTATTTGTTGGGCACAAAAAGTCGAATAAATAACCAAAAAACACACAGAATTTCACAATTGGTGCATCTCTACTGTACTTACTTTCTTTGACTTCACTACTCAGTCAATTGATGACTGCAGTGACATTTCTGCCTCCTGTTCTCCATTTCTACTGTTTCTACTTCTACTGTTATCTGTCAAGAGGGCTGTTGCTCAGGAGAAATGCTAATTTATCTTCGGCCTCTGCACAGGAAACATTGGGGAATCCCTGTCTCATACTGCAAACACAACACCACTGATGACAGACAGAGGGTTGCTGTGAGTGCTTCTCCTTTGTAATATGAAAGTATTTACACACAAATCACCACTTCTCCACTGAATGAAAGACTCCTCCAGATGTGGAGCAGAGAGGTGACTGGGTTCACAGTCAAAGCTGACCTGAGCTGAGGAGGCCACTCACTGCCTGCTCCTCCCTGCTGGGATATGCAGCCATGAGCTCAGTCAGTGTTTCAAAGTGCCAACTGCACAGGTGCTGCATGTTAATGTGCAGCCCGAATCCGCTTCCATATGCTGCATGTAGTTTCTATGCATGCAGTGAGGCGATACTGAAGCCACTGTTTTTCTGTTACACTTGCAAAGGCTTCCACAACAACACATTTGACTTCATGTGGAGGGCACACGGCGGATGAGCGGGCTCTTACCTCCAATGTTGGTGCGCTTGGTACAGCCGGCCTCCTCCGCCGGAGTTTCCAGCGGTCGTTTGCGGGAGTCCGGGTTATCAGTCTCCATGAGGGGCTGCTGCAGGCTGTGGAGGTTAGGGTTTGAGTATATCCCGTTATGGTCCACGGCTGCTCCGCCACCACCGGCCATCATCATCTTTTCTCGGCCGAAGCTATAGATAAATTTGCGCTATCCTCTCTCTCTCTCTCTCT